ATTGAAATATATAATACAGCAGTCTAAGAGCAAATGTCATTCTGGAACATCAAGAAGGATAATATTTGCACTATTGGAATCAGAGAAGGATAGGAGAAACTAGAGAGGCTAGAACTATTACTTGAGGATCAATTACTTATAAAGGAAGCACAGAGGAAAAACACAAAAATGCTAGTAAAATTAACTAAAGACAGATAATTAGCTAAAGGATACATATAAGATAAAGATATAAAATGAAACATCAAAAATATAAAGCACAGTGGGAAGAAAAAATGTAAAGTTTTGGAATATGTTCAAATTTAGCTATCAATCCAACCAGAATGTCATATAAATAGAAAGTTATGTCTGAACCCCATAGTAACCATAAAGCAAAAACTTAGAGTATAAAGAAATAAAGTAAATGAACAAATAAACTCTTAGATTCTGCCAAGAGAATTGTGGTCATCAGAAGGAATGGGAAGTTGGGGGTGGTAAAAAGGGTAAAGTACTTCAAATGTAGGAAAGATGGAAACTAGACTTTTGGAAAGGATCCCAATGAAGCACATTGTGATGTCAAATGTACAGTATTTGTACACTTGATATCTATATAACATTGTAAATCAAGTTAGTTCAATACATTTTTTTTAATACCAGTGATAAAAACTTAGGAGGAAAGCTGTTTTCTTAAGGTGGCAGTAGTAAACAGTGATATATGAAATTAAAAAAAAGTAAAAAATTATCAAACATATAAACATAGAACATACAGTGGGATAAAGTAGTGTGACCATGCTAGAAATGTATTGCATAAGTGAGCTTTTGGGCTATTTAAACAAGAGATACTGCCTAGTTATTAATGAGAAGGAATATAAATTTATCAAAAAAAGCCTTTTCTTAGTCCTGAAATCTAGGATAAATGAAGTATATAGGAGTATTTAAACAATATAACTACCTCTATCATTGCTTTGGATCAAGAAGCAGTGGTCAATTTTGGAATTACTTTCCCAAGCTTTAGTAAAAACCCAGGATGTAATATCAAGCCTTGTAGAGTGGTCCCTCAAGAGTGGTAAAATGAAGCTGACTTTGTGAGTTGTACGTGAAACAGCATCTGTCACTTAGGAATAGGTTTGAAACTTATCAACATTTGTTTTTACAACACTGTAGAATTCTAATTGCTTGGTGCTCTGGAATCTAATAACAAGTAGACCTGATGTACAATAAGAACTCCCTTTACTTACATTGAATGAGATTCAAGGGCACTTTCCAGTAACCCTGCTAACTACTATAGGGAGGAACTATTATACATTAGTTTTGTATTATGAGACTGAACAGAATACTACTCTTTTGGTGATCCAGGTAGTTTAAGGGGGTAATAACAAAATGTAAACAAAAGTGTTCAATAGGCATATTGATTACCATTTTTCATCTATGCAGGTTTGGTCTCTAAAGAGAAGTTATTTCCTCCTGATTTATCAGTAATGATTTTATCAAAAAGATAAATAAGACTACAAAGATGAAAATCATATCAAATATCTCTCTGAAATCATATCAAATATCTTTATAATGTTATAAAGTTAGAAATCAACTATAGGAGATCAGGAAAAACGATAAATATCTGGAGACTTAACAATGTGCTGCTTAATAGTCATTGGGGGAAAAAAGGAAATTAAAGAAGAAACAAAAAATACCTTGAGATAAAAGAAAATGAGGCTCTGAGCTACCAGGATCTGTGGGGTAAAGCAAAAGTGATCTAAAGAGTAAAATCATTACTATTTGCAGATATGATATTATATATAGAAAAATCATTTTAAAAATCCATCTAAAAGTTTTAGAAACAACAAATGATTATAGCAAAGTGGCAGATAACAAAGTCAACATACAAAAAGACAAAGTTTTTTTATATATTAAAAAAAACCTAGAAGAAAAATGTATTAAGAAAATGATTCCATTTGTAATGGCTTCAAAAAGAATAAATACTTCAGAATTAGCATAATTCAGGAGGTAAGACTATACAAGGACAACTGCAAGATATTATATAAGGATTATTTACGGATTTAGATAGTAACATAAGGAGATGGAAGGATATCCTTGCTCATGGTGGGGGGCGGGGAGATTCAATATATATAATCAAAATACTATCCTACCTAAAATGATACACAAATTTAACATAATCCCCATAAAAATATCAGTGATAGTTTTCAAACTTTACTATACAAAGCAACGGCACTAAAAACAGTATGGTATTGGCACAAAAACAGACATGTGAATCAACAGACTAGAATTGAAAGCCCAGAAATAAACCCACATATGTACCAGAATCTAATCTATGTATGATAAAGCATGTTTGTATGATACTTTATCATACAAACAGGAAAGCCACACATAAAAATGATACTTTATCATACAAATGGGAAAGCCACACATAAAAAATCAATCACTCACTAACTTCATGCACAAAAATAAGCTCCAAATGGGTTAAAGATTTAGAAATAAGACCTGCAACAATAAAAAATGTAAAAGAGAACACTGGTGATACGTTTTTTGATATCAACAACATAAATGTTTTTATGGCTCATTCTTCATGGAAAGGAAAATAAAAGCAAAAATAAACAATTGGGATTACTTCAAGTTAAAGACTTTTTATATAGAGAAAAGAAAATACAAGAAGATTTAAGAAACACCATAATGAATAGAAAATACTCACATAATATGTAACTGATAAAGGATTACTAAGCAAGATATATGGAAAGTCACATAATTCAACAATAAAAATAAACAACCAAATTAATAAATGGACAGTAGATATAAGCAAACAATTCATCAAACCAGATATCAAGAAGGCAAATGGCCATTTGAAAAAAATGCTCATAATTGCTTCCAATAAAAGAGATGCAGGTTGAAAATCACGAGATACCATCTCAAAACCCTGAGAATAGCACATATTAAAAAATACCTCTGGGCCTCCCTGGTGGCACAAGGGGTTAAGCACGGCACTATGAAGCAATCCGCAGCCTCTGCAGCACAAGCTCGATCCCCGGCCAGGCCAGGGAGCTACCCACATGGTACAGCAGACCCCTCCTGTCTCACCCGCTGCTCCCCTCAGCAGTGTATTTCACTAGATCCATCTGTTCTGTTCCCCACTCTGTCTCTGGTGAATCCTCTCACCCCTCCCCCCCCATCTCTGGCCTGTACCTCAGCTCTTGTATGCATAAATAAATAAATCTTTAAAAAAAAAAAAAAACCTCCAAAAACAGGTGTTGGAAAAAATGCAGGAAAAAATAGGCACCCTTTTACACTGTTGGTGGAGATGAAAACTGTTGCAAATATTTTGAAAAGCAATCTGGATTTTCCTTTAAAAATTAAAAATGGAAGTCCGTATGACCTAGCAATCCTACTTTTGGGCCTTCATCCAAAGAAACTGAAACTATGAATGCAGAAAAACCATGAATTCTACAGTGTTCACTGCAGCATTATTGGCAATAACTAGGACATGGAACCAGCCTAAAATATCCATCAATAGATGATTGGACGAAGTAATATATTCACACTACGGAATACTACTCAGCCAAAATGAGAGATGAACTGTGGGCATTTTCAACAAAATGGAAGGAGTCTGAGAGAATTACGTGCAGTACAGCAAGTCAGGATGATGAAAACAAATACTGGACGCTTACAGAGCAGACAATTTAATAAAGCTAAGCACAAAAACTAGTGTGAATGAGAGCAGAGTTTGGAGGATAACAGTTTGTGAGTTTCTCACCTGTGTGCTTAATGTTTGTAAGCCACTGCACAATCTCCAGGTACAAGATTTTATTGACAATAGGGGTGAATTGGGGGGCGGGAGAGTAAAATGTTTCTACCACCCAAATGGCGGGCTGTCCTACCCCAGATAGTGTCCAGGAATCCAAAAGCTGCTCGTGCAAGATGGTGTTGGGACCAAGATGGTCCCTCGGAAGGAGGCTGGAGCAGGTGGCACCAGGTAACCCGCGGCCGCGGGGAGGCTGTACACGGGCGCCGCGTCTCCAGGGCCGAGCCCGGCGCCTCCGGAAGCCGCGTCTGTGGTCTCCGGAAGCTCAGACCCGAGGGCGCGGGAGCCGAGGTCTGTCTTCTGCTGGGCCGACCTGTCTCGGGAAGCCGAGGTCTCCTCCCGAGGCCAGAGTCTCGCTCCGAAGCTTCTTCCGAGCTGCGTGAGGTCTCACAAGCCTGCTTCAGGCCTGCGTGGACCCCCTCAGGATATCGACCTTCCACACCTAATTCATCCACTTTCCACATCAGCTGTTTCCGAGACTTAACTGGTGCCTGACTATGCAAGCTGGAGCCTGACTATGCAGTGGGAGCTTCCACACGGTAGGTGTTCAAAACCAGCTCAGGGCTCAACGCCAGCCCCGTGGTGTGTCCTGCCTGCCCTGACTCCACCTGTGGGGGAGCTGCTCCGGGAGGCTCTGCTGTGCCTGAAGGGTGTCCAGCCTGGCCGGCCCTTCTCCTAACTGCTGTAGCGTTTACTATATCTATCTATCTATCTATCTATCTATCTATCTATCTATCTATCTATCTATCTATCCTATAAAACCCAAACCCTGCTGCTCAGGAGTTGTCCCTCAAAGTCAGCTGCTGTGGATAGCCCAGGTGGATGCTGCTCAGCCTCAGGTCCCAGATCCTTCAGAGAAAGCAGGAGATATGCAGGTGACCCTTAACTGCACATCGATCAGCACAGAAAGGGTTCCAAGGTTGAGAAGAACAGGGGAGAGAAAGGAACGAGGTATAGAAGGGATGATGGTGAGGAATATATTTATATGAAAAATAAAATAGCTTAATTTAAAATATACTGAAGATATTATTAAGGTCCCCTGCCCCCACAATACTCCATCTCAGTCTTCTGCCACTAGGGAACAATTCAGTGTGTTATCTTTCAGACTTTTCAAAAAAATGATAAAATAAGATACCATAAATCCAACTAACCATATTCAATCAATAAAATTCAGGTTAATTAACCTTTTCATAACTATGAACACAGAGATACAAACCTTGTATTTTCTTCTCACGTCTGCTATTTTCTCTTCTAGTTCCTCTGTTTTAAATTTGATTAGGTGGTAAATAGCACCAATGTGATAACCTTCCCTGTATATATATTTAAGATAATTGTCATGTTTTTGCTTCAGTCTTATCAAAGATTGTATATCAGTCTCAAGTATTGCTTTTTTCTTTACACTGTGAAAAATAAAGTGAAAATTCGAGGTGGTTATTCAAAGAAAAGTATGTAGTAAGGAAAATGTATTTAATAATAGATAATTCATTAAATTTGCAGAATATAAAATCAAATCACTATATAAAATTTTATTGTGCACAATACAGTATCTGAAAAAGAAATAATCCCATTTACAAAAGTATCAAAAAATAATATACTTTAGAATGAATTTAATTGAGGAGGTGAAAAATCTGTACACTAACATTAAGACATTGATGAAATAAATTAAGAAACACAAACAAATAGAAAGAATCATGTTTTCATGGATTGGAAGAAATAATAAAAGTCCATAGTGCCCTAAGCAATCTAAAAATTCAATGTACTCCCTTATCGAAATTCCAATGGCTCTTTTCATAGATAGAGAAAATAAGTCTTAATATTTGTGTGAAACCACAAAAACCCAAAGTGGCCAAAGCAATCTTGATAAAGAGAAATAAAGTTAGAAGTAACACATTCCTTATTTCAAACCATATTACAAAGCCATAATAATCAAGTTTATTTTCCTTGAGTTAGGTTACTGAAACCTGCCTGTCATATGAATAAGCAATCAAGTGAAAACATTTGCTGAAGTGAAATGTCCCAAATGTTGATTCCACTTATAAAGGATGATGGATTATTTGAGAAAAAAATGTATCAAATTATACACAGATACTACAAAATAAACAATCATATACCATCATCACCAGCACCAAAAGATCTTATTTGTGTGAACAGAATACTGAACTGAGTTTGTAATGATAAGGCATCTACCTTTTAATGTTACCATTTTAAAAATGAACTATATATGAAAATTATATACTGAGTTAATTATGTAACTTATTCAAAGAGAATAACAGTTGAGAATGGCATCAAATAAAGAAATGGTATTCTAGTGGAATTTTGGAATATATAGCAATCTGAATTTGGGGAATTTTCATAGGGGTACTCACTAGACTTATGGGTATCAGTGGCTTGCTTAAAACTCTGTTGCTATTATTTTTAGATTAAAGGCAAAAAAAAAAAAAAGAACCTAGGATTAAGGGGAAGGTGACTTGGGTAAATGATAAAAGAAATAAAAAAAAAGCAGGGAGTAAGATCAGAGCTCTTTTTAAAACAGTACAAAATTCATACTAAAACAGAGGGCCTCCCCTGGTGGCTCAGGCAGTTGAGCACAGCGCTATGAAGCTGTCCACAGCCTCTGCAGTGCGGGTTCCATCCCGGCCGGCCACCGAGAATCCCACATGGTGAAGCAGACCTCTCCTGCCTCGCCTGCTGCTCCCCTCAGCAGTGTATTTCATCAGTCTGCCTGTTCTGTTCCCCGCTCTGTCTCTGGTGAATCCTCTCACCCTCCCGTGCATCTGGCCTATACCCTGGTTCTTGTATAAATAAAATAAATCTTTAAAAAAAAAATTCATACTAAAACAGTGTCAAGGAACAGTGCCCAAGGTGGAAGACAGATCACTGTCTGTGGGTTCTCACCTGTGTACTCAGTTGCAAGACACTACTCAGACTCAGGGTCTACTTAACAAACAGGTGATTGGAGAACAGAAAAACAAAATGAAGATATTTATTATAGTCTACATATTATTAGATATGCTATATAAGAATAGAAATTTATAATTTCAGAATTACCTGGTACTGATATAAGCTGTTATGTTTTCAACATCAAGCTCAATTTTTCTGTTTTCTTCCATTAATTGATTATATGCTACTAAAACATTTGAATAATCTTTTGCAATATTAGAAAGTTCAATATTCCATATCTTTTGCTTTATGAAAAAAAGAATAATTCACACATGATTTAGCATCTCAAAATATTATGTAATAATAAAATTAGTTGTATGAGTCAATATTTAGGAAAAGAGAATGTAGCTCTAATGGGAAATAGGGAAAGATCTACGTACCATGGTATAAAAATCAGTAAGTTTTTGCACATAGTCATTTTCAGATGTTTTTTTCTTCCAAGCTAGTTGTTCATAAACTTTTTTTAAATCATTTAGCTAAGAAAAAAATATAGACAAAAAATAAATGAATTATGGAGTTTGACATCTTTTCTTTTCATAGATTAAGTAATAGAGGTGCCATTTATGCAACTACCATAAATGGTTAAATATTGATTAAAATAGTATAAAATAGTAACATGGTGCTTTAATTTAAACTTACAAAAACTGAATATTCTGAATAACATATAGCAAATCAAGTCTAATTGTGTTCCAATGAGAAATTAATCATGATAAAGCAGAATGGTTTTCAGTTATGCTAAACATTTAGAAAATTTTAAAACATGATTCACCACCACAACAAATTAAGGGTAGAATGATGAATATGGCCAGTATTGAACATAAAAGTTATATAATAAATTTCTACATATTTCCATAGTTTTAAGATAGTACATGCAAAAATTATACAATTATAAAGAACCCACAGGAAATATCAAATAGTCACAAAATGCTGAACGCATGCCCACTGAATTCAACAATAAGTCTATCTTTTATCAGCACTGTTAGTAATCATGTTTTATGAAAGTTTAGTTATAAGCAATTGAATAATGAAACCAAATTTTACTATTATGATAATAAATATGAATAGATAATGTCAACAATAAACATATAATGTCAATGGCCAATTGACTTTCAACAAAGGTGTCTAGATAACTCAGTGGGGAAAAAAAGTGCAGTTTTGCATGAATATTCTCATGCAAAGATTTAATTTGGTTCCTACTTCACACAATATATACAAAATTAACTAAAATGAATCAGACATTAACCTAGGAATGAAGACAAAATATTAATTGAAACATAGATATAACTATTCAAGAATCTGAAGTAGGCAATGGCTTCTTAGCAATGACATTTTTGATATGGGCAACCAAATTAAAAATAATTAAGATGTTGCCAAAGTTAAAAATCTCTGAGCTTCAAGGATACTGTCAAGAAAGTGAAGACACTCCATAAAGTCGAAATATGTTCAAATGATCTCTCTGAGAGCCTACTAATCAGACCACATGAAGAACATTAACAATTTAAAATGACGCCAAATTAAGAATGGTCAAAAGATTTGATCACACATTTCTCCAGAGGAATTATATCACTAGAAAATAAGCACATGAAAAATTGTTTGACAAGAATCAGTGTTTGGAGAAATAGAACTCAAAACTAGGTGTATCAATAAATATAATCAGATAAGAGAAAACAAAAGGTATATGATATAATGAAGGAATACTATCTCTATTTGCAGATTAATTAATAACACCCCTGGATAATCCGAGATAAACAATGACAAAAATACCATAAGTTATCTAAAAATAAATTAATTAGTACAATGTGAATCTTTATTGATTTCATATTCCCAAACATAAAGAGAAAAGTCCCCAGTTGTCAGTTCAACGAAATAATGTAACTACTTAGGAATTAACTTTTCAAAAACATGTAAATACTATTAGAGGAAACCTTTTTAACAACACTCCTAAAAGACACAAAAGAACTGAATAAATAGAATAATATCTCTTTATTGACTTAAAATAACATGTATTTATTAATCTTATGGTTCTGTAGGTCAGAATGCTAATGGACCACATGAGTACTCTACTTTGGATTTGAGTTGAAAAGAAGGTAGGCAGCTGCCATTTTTATGTCAGTTTCTGTATAATTCCCTCTATATTCAAGTCAGCAATGGCTTCTCATGCTTTGTGTCTCACTGTCTCCACCTTCTGCTACTTGTCCCTGACTTTTCTGTCTTCAGCACAGAGAAAGTTTATCCTCTGTCTCACTTCCCTCCTCTGGAATCTCATTTTGCCCTCTGAACTACTGGCTCCATTTTCTGGGCTCTTGTTTTCACTATCTGAGTCATCATTTTTCATGAAAGGTAATACATGCCTGCAGATAGTTAGCCATCCTGCTTCCTGCCTGTAGATCCATAGGGCTCCCACAGGATTTTTAAATTTTATTCTCTCTCTGCTTCTTCCAGTCCAAGCTGGCAGTATTTTTGCTAATATAAAATTCTCAAGACCATTGTTGCTCTCTAATGGATGATACATGGATTCATTTATATATAAGTGCAATCTTTTTTATAGAAATCATTTCTACATTACCATGGTTAAAGAGCAAACCCTTAAACTTCCCTCTTACTTAAGGAATGTTATATATCATATCCTTCTAAAAGGAATTCAATTAGAATTGACTGAGTAATATTTACAAATAATACTCAAACTTAATTATTAACTAAAATTTGAGCAATGACATAGAATATACTTTTTACCTAACATGTACTACCAATGCAACAAATAGAAAATTATTTTATTTATAAACTTGTAGCAATTTAATCCCTTAAAAATATTGTCAATAGTAACCAATATTCACAGTACTTAATATACAGGAATTCTAAGAGTGAAAATTTAAAAAACTTTACTCAATAATACAGAAAGATAATACTTACAAAATTATAAGGATTGCATCATATAAATATTAACATTAAGGAATCAAAGCATATAAAGTTATAATGATTTTAAGACTGTGCCATTTATTACAAAGGAAGTAATATTTTATTCATGAATTTTTTATAACATTTTTGAAGTAACATTGTATGTTTTAGTTGAAGGTTATAACTCATCACCTATATCTATATATATTACATTATATATGATAAATTATTATATAATATTATATAAATACAGCACATTAGGTTTACCAAAACAAACAAAATAAAATAAAATAAAATCCACTTCTGTCCTTCACCATTTAACTTATCATTTTAGCCAATTTAACAATAAGGAAAACTTCACAAATTTGTGTCATCATTGAGCAAGGGCTCATTCCAATTTTAGTATATGTGTTGCCAAAAAAAGCAAGTGATTAACTTTTCTTACTTTTCTGTTTCACTGATACCAACTGTAAAATTTCAGAAATCTCTCTCTTACAATATAATGTTTGCATACAATGTTTGCTTAAGATAAAAATTAAGGAATAAAAAGTGATTAAATCACAAGTGACATTGAGAGGGAAAAACCTATAGATTTAAAACAAAATGAAATAAGTAAGAAAGTAAAAGACAGATATTGGATGGTTTTACTCATCTGTGGAATATAAATAACTGAAAAAACACACAGGCAAAATACAGCAGAAATAAATCTTGGACTTAGTGAAGGAATTTAATGGTTACCAGATGGAACAGAGCCAGGGAAAAAGAGGCAGGGTAGGGAGGGAGACAGGGTATTGCCTGGGTGGTTTGGTGGAGGGTTTGTGGAACATGTGTACATATGGACAAGTAAAAATGTAACTCCAACATATAAATGTAAATTAATTAATTATAAATAAAAGTACACACTAAGCACCATTAAATAGTTTTGGTTATGTTTAATGTGATGTTCAAGATTATTTTATTTTCAAAGAAGCAATCTAATAGCACCATATTCAAAGTAGTATCATTTGGCAAAGAGTAAAGGATAGCAGAAACTTAGATTTTGAATTGTGAAGTAGTTGCCATACAAGTTCCCACAGACAATAAATCGAAGATTAATAAACCTAAGTAATCTATAAGACTAATAGTATGAAATTAAAGAAATTCAATAATAAGAATATTGTTATTAATAATATTGAAGGGGCTGCTCTGATGGTGCAGGGATTAAAGTCTCAGTGCTATCAAGCTATCGCCAGCCACTGCAGCATGAGTTTGATCCCTGGCCAGGGAGCTGACCCATATGGTGCAGTAGACCTCTCCTTTCTCACCAGCTGCTCCCCTCAGCAGTGTACTTCAGTAGATGCGCCTCTTCTGCTCCCTGCTCTGTCTCTGGTGAATCCTCTCACTCCCCACATCTCTGGCCTACACCCCAGTTCTTGTGTGAGTAAATAAGTAAACATAGAAATTTTAATAAAGGTATTGAAACGCAAAGTTAAATTTTTACAATTTTAGACAATGTGAAACTGCAAGCAAACTAAGGCTTAACTGAAAGATGAAGCACATGATTTTTACTTGAGCTACTAATACTTCACTACATTTCAAATTTTATTGATTTTTCCATCAATATTATTTTGAGTAAAATGAGTAGCTATGATGTTAAAATTTTTAGAGGCCTTTAACACATTTTGTTTTTAATGATTAAAAATGAGACCATCCTAAATATTAAATAACAAGGGTTTAAGAAACTATCAGTCATTAAAATTCATAATAAAATATGAATATGAAGAAACACAATTGATCACTGTATATATGTTATATTTCAAAATATAGTACAAGGGTGATGTGTTTATGTACAACAAAATATTAGCAATGACTTCATCTGGGTAGTGAGATTATAAATCAATATTTTCTTCTCACACAAGTATTTCCAAACTTTGAAACACAAACATTAAGTATGAGTGCCATACAAAAAGAGTCTTTAAATAATTTTAGATAATAGTTTGTGTAATAAATTCCATCAGGTTTTATGAGGAGCGTAAGAAGAAAATAGAATCTATAGTAGCAATAATAGAGTATTGTGTTAGCGAAACCCTCAACAGCAAATAATCTTAAATAATAAAGCAAGCAGAGAATCAAAGATAATTAAGAAAGAAATTTCTTTCAAGTTTTGCTGCAAAAGATAACAATAAATGCAACTATAGCTCTTAGAGAAAGATTCAAAAACTAAAACCTTTAAGTATTCAAAACAGGTATGTGAAATTAAGAAGAAATAGAATAAAATGAAATAAATAAAATTGTAATTATAAGATCATATGATAATATTTTAGAAGTTTGAAACTGTAGAATTATTAAATCCAAGTGTAACATCTATTTTTTTATATTTTGAAAAATTTACTTGAAAGGTAGAAAATGCACATATAATAAGAAAGAAGAGATAAACAAAATCATGAACGTATTCTATATTTTATTATGATTACACATTTGAAAATCTTTAGGATTAATTCTAGGGTCATTAAAATTATAAATCAATCTCAAGAAGAAATAAGTAGTCTGATAAGATCAATCATGATAAATAAAAGAGGTACACATGAAAACAAAACATTAA